GAATTTGGCGCGCAGTCGAGGTAGGACTCGTACTTGAGCACCTGCACCAGCTGCAGCAGGTATTGGAAGAGCTCGTCGTCCCTGCAGGGTGGGGAGGTGGCTAGCACCTGGAGCATCATGGCTCAGGACAGGGGTCTGCGGCCAGCGTGGGGGACAGGGCCGGGGTGAGGGGCCGGCCTCCAGAGTGGGCCCCCAGCCAAGGTCTGGTCCCCAGCCAGGGCCCGCTGCCAGGCATTGGGGTCAAGCCGGCGGGACTCACGTTAGCTTCCGCAAGGACTTGATGGCGAAGGAGCCCACGTGGCGGTCGGGGAAGCTGGAGTCCAGCAGCTCCAGGGCGCTCAGGACGGGCAGCTCGGGCCAGGAGCAGAGCAGGTAGAGCATCTGGGGGAGCTGGCGGTCAGGGTGCGGGGCAGGCGGAGACTGGGCCTGACTCCCGGCGGGCCCCGCCCCCAGGCCCACCCCCGTCCGCAGCCCACCTGGGCCACGTCCTCGTGCTTGTTCCACTTGGTGACCAGCAGCAGCCGAGCCAGCGCCTCTGGGAAGCGCTCCTGGACCTCGTGCCGCATCTTCCACACCAGGTCCTTCTCGTGCTCATACAGCTCCCCCGACGCCCGCCGCTCCAGGATTTCCCGCAGCTGCAGCTGCTGAGGGGCACAGGCAGGTGAGGGCTGCAGCCGGCTCCACGCCAGGGCCAGGCTCGTCGCCTCCCAACCCGCAGTGCCCCCCCTCACCTCCTCCTCCGTGAAGCGGCCGTGCTCCCCGTGCCGTCCCAGCTCCAGGATCTGCAGAAAGAGGCCCTGCTCAGCAGAGTCCCCCAGGCCTGGGCCAGACAGCAAGGCCACAGCGCAGGTGGCAGCGCTGCTGGCCAGTGACTCTCAGAGGTGGGCATCCCTGTCCGAACACTGTCCAAACACTGTCGGGCATCCCTGACCTCCACCCGCGAGAAGCCAGGGGCATCTCTCCCACTGGACGTGACAACCAAAAATGTCTTTGGACATTGCCTGAGGTCCCCTGGGGGCAAAGTGGCCCCTGGTTGAAGACCACTGCTCTAGGGCACATGAGGATTCCAGAGAGTCGAGAAAGCCCCCAAATACCCAGGGCCTATCCGGGGCAACTCACGGGGTGCAGGGACCATGCCCCGGGAAATACGTGTGGTGACCCAGGGCCTATGTGGGGCAACTCACGGGGTGCAGGGACCATGCCCCGGGGAGCCCCAGAGGCAGGATCACAAAACCCGCCTTCAGCCCCACAGCCTCTGAGCAGGGTGGGTCCCGGGTCCCAGTGGCCAGGGGCCCTCACTGACCTTGTCCAGGGCAGGGTAGTACACGGGGTGGGGGGCCACCTCGGGGAGACAGATGACCAGGGCGGCAGCACTCTCGGTGTTGGGGTTGCTGCGCACGGT